ATATATATATATATCTCACTGGGCAAGAATTTTTGACAAGAGGAAGATACTCCTCCCCTGACGCTCAGGCTATGATCAAGGTATCCTGGGAAAGTCCAAGGATACTTAGAAGACTCCTGCCAGGTGAGTCACAGAGCCAGGCCCCCTCAGGCCTTGTCATCAGCACTAGGAAAACCAGGGACCAGGGGCTCTGACCCACAACTGCTGTGGCTCTATGAGCAGGGCCCCCTTTATCTCTGCCCTTCCCAGCAGCACTTGAGCACTTTTCACCTCTGAAGTCTGTGTTTGGGGGACACTGGGCATCTGTCTGTCACACTCCCTGCTCTCCCCAAATTTCTCTTTAAGAGCATGAAGGACCTGTCTTTCTTGCGGTAATTCTATGCATGGGGCCTACACTGTCTCTAGTACCCCTGCCTCTTTCCAGCAGAGTCGCCATGGGTGCTTGCATCCTGGCTCCATTCTCATCACCTGCTCTGGATCCCCAGGCTTCACACTGACAGCCTGTGGCAGCCAGATGTCTCCTGCCTAGGTGCTCAGGGCACTTGGAAGTTTCATGTAGAGAAAGACTTGTTTTTGTCACTCTGGGGATCAAACACAGACTCTCACACATGCTCGGAAAGTACTCTACCACTGAGATGTGTCCCTAGCCCCTCAGGTTGTTTTGTTGTTTTTTTTTTTTTTTCCCAATACTGGGCATCAGTTCCGTTTTTCATTTTGAGACAGGAAGTCACTAAGTTCCCCAGGCTGGGCTTGAACTTTTTTTGTTTTGTTTTTTAATAAAAAAATTTCAGGGCTGGTGAGATGGCTCAGTGGTCTAAAGCACCTACTTAGAACAAGCTTAGCAAAGCACAGGGTCTGTGGTTCAATCCCCCAGCACCACATGCCAGCCAGCACTGCTCCCTGGTGGGCTGAGCTGGCCACACACACACACACACACACACACACACACACACACACACACAAATAAATAAATAAAATTTAAAAAAAAATTTTTAAAAATTTCATAAAATAATAATAATAGTTAATACACTATGCATCATTATCTTCAAAGTAGTTACTCAGAATTCATGACATAAACCAAAAGAATTTTTTTTTTTAATGTATTTGGTACAGGGTCTCACTATGCAGCTTGGACTCACAGTGATCCTCCTATTATAAACCAAGGAATTCTTTTTTTTTTTTTTTTTCAGAACCAGGGATTGAACTCAGGCCCTTGCGCTTGCCAGGGAAGAACTTATTCCACTGAACCATCTCTCCAGCCCCTTAGAATTCTTAAAAAAAGAAACACAATAATATGTTTTTTTGCAATAATCCAAGGTAAACTAGTAGTGTAAATGAAACAAAGTAGCATATGTATTAAAATATTTTTGAAGGGGCCGAGGAGATGGCTCAGTAGAGTAAGTGCTTGTCTGGCAAGTGCAAGGGCCTGAGTTCAATCCCCGGTTCCACAAAAAAATAAAAATAAAAATAAATAAAATATTTTTGAAACAACATATGAAATTTGGGGAAATATTTGACCTTCTCCCACCTTCCTACTGTGTCTTCTGTTTCTCTATTTGGGTATTTGTATATGTTTTGTGTTTCTCAAATAAGAGGAGTCTGATGGGTGAGTGACTCAGCATGTTTTCCAGTTATGTCTGTTTATTGCATGAGCCTCAGATTTTCTTTCTTTATAGAAGCATATTACAGGGGCCGGAGAGATGGCTCAGTGGAATAAGCGCTTCTCTGGCAAGCGCAAGGACCTGAGTTCGATCCCCGGTTCTGAAAAAAAAAAAAAAAAAGAAGAAGCATATTACAGAAGGGGTTTGATTCTCATGGTGTACAAATGCCAAAACTTCCTATCCATTGATCTATTGATGGACATATACCCTATTTCCAAGATCTACCTATTATAGAAATTATGCTGCTATAAACGGGTATGCACATCTTCCTGTAACATGATGACTTGAACTCTTGGGAAGATACCTAGGAAGGGGATAGTTGGGCCAAATGAAATTTCTGTTTTTAGTTTTTAGAAGTGAAAGGCAAAAAAACAAAAAACAAAATAAACAGTCATCCTTATGAGTGAATCTACTAACATTTCCATTTGGGCTGGGGAGATGGCTCAGTGGAATAAGTGCTTCCCTGGCAAGCGCAAGGGTCTGAGTTCAATCCCCAGTTCTGCAAAAAAAAAAAAAAAAGAAGAAGAAGTGAAAGGCATGAGCTCTGACAAATGCACTGATTTCTGTAGTGATTGTTCTAGTTTACATTCCCACCAGCAGTACAAAAGGTTCCTTTTTCTCCACATCCTCACCAACATGTGTTTTTTTTTAATTTTTATTTTTTATTATTTGTGTGTGTGTGTGTGTGTGTGTGTGTGTGTGTGTCCAGCTCAGCCCACCAGGGGGCGGGGCTGGCTAGCGTGTGG